GGACGCACTGTGGGACCACAAATTGGACCCCAGCTAAAACAATTTAGCAAAACCCTGTCTCAAAAATAAAGGCAGGTGTGGTGGTGCGCACCTGTAATCTCAGGACTCAGGAGGGTGAGGCGACAGGAATGTCATAAATTCAAGGCCAGCCTGAACTATATAGCAGGACCCTGCCTCAAAAAAACTTTAAAAATAAAAAGAAAAAAAAGATTTCAGGGGTAGAGTGAAGGCCTTAGCTTCACTCTCTAGCACTGAAAAAAAAGAGAGAGAGAGAAAAGGGTTTATACTTTAATTTATAATTTTAATCCCTTAATTGTTTTCCCTAATTGTCTTGTCAATTTCTACCCTCTGTCTATTTATCCATAAAGTGACTGACATCATGATCTCTCTGTTATTCTGAGTTCCATTTGCCTTTACCTTTCGTGCTGCCCTGCACTATTTTGATTATCAGATATACTGTTGCTAAGAGCTTCATTTGCTGTCTTTTAAAACTTAATCACATTTTAATCTGTTTGGTACCACAGTGCAGGTTATAAAGTAGGTATCACTGACTCTGCCATTAAACCAATTAACTCAATAAAATGATAGGAGTAAATTTAGTTGATGATCTATTTACTCTCTTTTAATATTCTTTTTCACTTTAAAATTGTGGGAATAATTTTTGTAGTTGAAAGGACACTATTAAGAAAGTGAAAAAGAGGCTAAGGATTTAGCTCAGCAGCATAAGCGCCTGCCTTGCAAGCAGGCAGTCATGAGTTCGATCCCTGGTACCGATAAAAATGAAAAAGACAAAAAAAAAAAAAAAGTGAAAAAACAATGTATAGGATAAGAGACAATGTTATCAAAAAGAATTTAGTATCCAAAATATATCAAGACCCCTTATAACTCAACAATAAAAAAGACAAATACAGTTATTCCTCCTTTATCTGTAAGATTTTCTTTCCATAGTACCAGTTATCTGCAGTCAACTGCAATCAAGTATATTAAATGGAAAGTTCCAGAAGTAAATAATTCATAAGTTTAAATTATGTGCTGTGCTGAGTAGTGTGATACTATGTACTGCTATCTCCCATCCTGCTTTGGACGTGAATCATCTCTTCCCATGCATACATACTATTTGCATTACTCATCCATGAATTACTAAGTAGCTGTAGTGTATTCCATTGCTTGTCATCCTTGTTTTACTTAGTAGTGACCAAAAAACTCAAGAAGAGTGATACTTGCAATTCAGGTTTGCCAAAGAGAAGCCACAAAATGCTTTCTTTAAATAAAAAGATGAAATAATGACTTGGCTTAATAATGAAGAATAGGGCTGGGGAAATAGCTCAGTGGCACTGTGCCTGCCTGGCAAGTGCAAAGTCCTGAGTTTGATTCCCCGTATCAGAAAAAAAAAAAAAAAAAAAAAAAAAGTAGGGCTCTGGATTTAGCTCAGTGGCACAGGCACTTCCCCGGCAAGTGCAAGTCATAAGTTCAATCCCCAATACCAAAACAAAAACTAAAAGAAAACAAAAAACCAAAATATATATATATATATGTTATTGTTGTTAATCTCTTATTAGGCTTAATCTATAATTTAAACTTTAACATAGGTATGTATGTATGTATAGGAAAAAATAACATACATATACAGTATGGTACTATGGTACTATCTGTGCCAACAGGCATTTACTAGGGGTCTTGAAACACATCAACTGTGGGTAAGAGGGCATCACTGTAGCCTAAATTTTCAAATAGACAAAGGATATAGATAGACATTTCTTCACAGAAGATATAAAAATGACCACTAGCACATAAAAAGATGCTCAACATCATTAATAATTAGGGAAATCAAAACCAGAGTAAAATATTTCAAAACAACTAGAATATAATAAAAACAACAAGCATTAATGAAGGTATATATAAATTGAAATCCTCATGCATTGCTGGTATGAATATAAAATAGTACAAATGGATAGATGTTATATTTGTTGAATTAGTGAAGAAACTAACTGAACACATAGGCTCAGTTTTTGTTTTTGTTTTTTTGCTTGTTTTTGTACGAGGGATCCAACTCACAACTTCACACTTGTCAGGCAGGCACTTATGCCACTGAGATAAATCCCCAACCCCTAAATTCAAATATTATAAAAAGATAAAATATTAAAAACTGGAATATTTAATGGTTTGCAAAACATGGATTAGACAATCTAATATTATAACTTGTTGTAAAAATTAATCCTAGGGGGGCTGGGGATTTAGCTCAGCGGCATAAGCACCTGTCTTGCAAGTGGGCAGTCCTGAGTTCGATCCCCGGTACCGATAAAAAGGAAACAAACAAACAAACAAAAATTAATCCTAGGTACATATTCTAACACTTTGGGATTCATTTGGGGGTTTGTTTGTTTGTTTGTTTGTCTTTTTGAAGCAGGGTTTCGCTATGCAATTCAAGCTGGCCTTGAGCTCACTTTGTAGCCCAGGCTGGTCTCAAACTCTCAGTGATCCTCCTGCCTCAGCCTCCTAAATTATGCTGTAATTACAGGCGTGCACCACCATGCCCGGTTGACATTTTGTATAAGCTTTCGAAAGTGAATCAATGAAGACATAGTTCTACATCTATGCGTTCACAGCAGCACTTTTCACGATCTTGTCCACTGATAGATGAATGGATAAACCAAAGGTCTTATATTCATTCAATGGCATTTTATTCAGCCCTTCAACTGGAAGAAAGCTGTGATCCATGCTACAAAATGGATGAACCTCAAGGACATTAATGCATGGTGAAATAAACCAATCACAAAAGACAGATACTCTATTTCTCTTATGTAAGATATCTGTATCAGCCAAATGCATAGAAACAGAAAATATGATGGTTGTCAGGGACTAGAAGGAAGGGGAAATGCTGAGATGTTACTTAATGAGTATAGAGTTTCCACTTTGCAAGCTGAAAATGTTCTGTAGATTGGTGGTGCAACAAAGTAAATATACTTATCAGTATTTACCAATAGTTACTATGGTCAGTTTTATGTAATATGGCTTTTACTCCACCTAAAGATAGAGAATAATTTAAAATTTTTACTTCTAGCAAGATACAGTAGCCACTTGGAAGGCTGAGACAGAATGACTTGAACCCAGGAGTTTAAGACCAGCCTGGGAAACACAGTGAGACTTCATCTTTTTTAAAAACCACAAAACAAAATCAAAATTTTTTTTTACTTCCCACCAATTCCATTTAATAGGAACTGTCATTATCCCCACCGTAAATTTTGGTAGCCTTTAACATAGTAAATCCTTAGTAAATATTCGTTGAATTAATTTATAAATTAAATCTGTCCTTTTCCTTTCCTTGTGTTCATAATGTATGAAATTTGAGAAAACCTGGATAAAGTCAAATGATACTCATAATGAACAACTTCCCAGAGCAGAGGCAGGAAAACTTTAGAAGTGTTGCCACTAAATAAATCTAAAAGCACTTTTGGAGGCCCCAGTACATTATTGGTTAACTCTGGGTATCAAAGTCTGTGATTAGCCATAACAATTTAAGAAAAAATTATTGTTGTTAACCTCTTACTATACCTAATTTATAAATTAAACTTTATGTTACATATTTATGTATAGGGAAAAAACATAGTATATATAGCGTGTGCTACTTATTATCTGTGGTATCCAGCCTCTGTTGCAGGTCTTGGAACACAGTTCCTAAAGGCAAGGGGAGATCTCTGTAGCCTAAATTTTTCAGTGGACAAAGGATATGAATAGACATGTCTTCATAGAAGATATAAAAATGACCATTATCACATAAAAAGGTGTTCAATACCATTAGTCATTAGGAAAACTAAAATCAAAACCCTAATGATCATGACTCCTATGCTAGAGAATTTACAGTGCCATGAATGTTATAGTATCTGCTTAACACAAGCAACTTTTTGTTTTGTTTTTGTTTTATGAGGCAGGTTCTCATTATATAATCCAAGCTGGCCTTAAATTCACGATATAGCCCAGGCTGGACTCAAACTTGCAGCAATCCTCCTGCCTCAGCCTTCCAAGTGCTGAGATTACAAGTGAATGCCACCACACCCAGCTTTTAATTACTTTCTAAAGTCACTTTTCTTATTAGTATTAAAGTTTACAAGCTTATAAGAGTCTATTTTGCCCTTCTTTTTAGACTTAATGATATGGCTTGGAGTTTCTCTTGTTTGTTTTTGGTTTGCTTGTTTGTTTGTCTTGTGGTCCTGGGGGTTTCCTCCAACACTGGAAGTCTCTTCTTGGGCCTGAGCCAGAGCAATGAATGAGGTCACAGTTGTATGATGGAACAAGCCCTTTGTTGGGCTCTTGATCTGACTGAAGGCCCACAGTGGTGAGTAGCACAACCTATAAGTAGATAAATATCAAGATTTTTACAAGTCTAAGCTGAGTCCTTTTTTAAAAAGAAAATAATCTCTCATCTCTTTGAGAGGTTGAAGTTATTTTTCTTAAGTAATGAGTATTTTCAACCATAAGGATGATTTCAAAGCACCTTTCAAGTACCTAACTTATTGAACATCTCTGGAGTTCCCAGCTCTATGGTAGGTTCCTAGATTCTAAACATCTACAATTAAGTTATTTAAAAACGGCTACTCTCTAGCTAGGTTCTGAAGTAAAGGCTTGAGAAAAATGAGTTCTGATCACGCATTTCCACTTTTCTTGTTAGGTGAGCCACCTAACACACTACTTGTGTTTTGAGTCAGAATTTTGTTATGTAGCCCAGGCTGGCCTCAAACTCACAATCCACCTGCCTCGGCCTCCCGAGTGCTGGGATTGCAGACATGCATCCTACTCGGTTCACTCCACTTTTAAGAAAGATAACTGGAGCTACAAAATGAACAAAGATGGAAGCCCTACCACCATGGTCTATAGGTCCTATCTCTCAAATTATGCGAAGTGGTAAAGGGAGGCCTAGGGCAATGGTTATAGTGAAGGAGTTGATTCAAGGTCTACTGTAGCAAACAGCATTGTATTCAACACCTACTCCTACTCTTAAAAAAGACCATGGGACCAGAAGAGTGTCAGGACATGGATACACATCCCAGAAGGAAACCCTGAGAAAGCCTACATACTGCTAGACTGGTGTCTAAGACAGAAACAAGTAAGCAAATATTTCAATGCTTTTACATTCCTCAATTATGATTTGAAATGTTCTGGTTCATAAATAAATTTTCCTTTAACTTAATCTATATATTTCTAGGATGCTGTGTTTCATTTGGTACTTTTTTATGATTTAAAATACACATGATAGTTTTATATATGTATGCATTGCAAAATAATCATATAATCAGGCTAATTAACACATCCATCATTTTTCATAATTACTACTGGAAGGGAGTGATAATATCTAGGATGTGTTCTCAGCAGATTTCAAGGATACAGTACAATGCTATCATCTGGAATCACCATGCCATGCACTAGATCTTTAGAATTCACTCATGTTACATAACTGGGACTGTGAACACTCATATCTCCCTTCTCCAGCTGTTTTAGATCCCACATAGGTATAAGTGAGAACATACAGGCTGTTTGTGCCTGACTTAGTATACTTAGTATTTATTTTTATATGGGGTCAGTGTTTGAAAAGGGGGTCAGTAACAAGAAATTTTGCTTTCAGGTCTAAGGAAATTTCCCACACAGCTTTCCAACTTTGCACATAACTCTAACTTGAATTTACATATAGTTCCATTTCTTGAGGCCCTGACTTTTCAAACTCCAGGTCTCAAACTGGGAAAGTTGCAAGAGTATAAAGAAATTAATCTGTGAATTGATCCTTAATTGCATCTTTTGAATTCCAGACCCAGTTACTGGCCACATGGCTATTTCAGAACTTAAACCAAAACTTAAACTGAATCCTCTAAATGCACCTGTCTTCCATAGCAAGAGGTAGGTGGTAAAAATATAAATATATTATGATAAAGAATTATTAATGGATAATTATAATTATGGGTATATTAAATACTCATAAAGTCCATAAGACAAGTGAGAATGCTCTTCAAATACCTGCCCTGTAGTGGGTTTAGTTATAAAACAGAACATTTAAGCTGAGAAAGCTTTTTAATGAAAAGAAAATGGTAAATGTCCTTTTTGACTGGAGGTTTTCCTTCCTGTTCTTCCAAATGAAATGCTAATTTTTGTTAGGACACAGAATACCCTAGAATGTTCCAGGAGTTGTCAGTAATACCTTAAGGTATTTTTGAATGCCATTTTAAAGGAGAATAAATTTGGAAGATCATAAGGTAGACCTAACCCCTAAACGAGTCAAAATATAAAAAAAAGAGTTTATATTAAAAATATAGCCGGTAAAAGAATCTGGTAAATTAGCCATGGCTAGTCTTAGGCTAAAATTGAGGAAGGAGGTTCATTTGTATCATTAACAATAACTTCTCCTCAAACAGCTATAGATAAACTAAAACAACAACAACAACAAAACACCCAGTTACTAATAACTGAAAGAGCACAAGATATATTTTATTATTAGATTATTAGATCTTATAAAACATAAGAAAAAAACTCGCTTTTCTCACAATTGTTCATTTTTCTTACCACCTTAAGGGTATTTTTGCTAGTATTCCTGGGTTCATCAGTGTAAAAAAATATCTTTCTGACACTTTTTAGAGAATAATAGGTAAGGTAATTGTGTAGCAGCCAAATCCTTAATATTACTGTTCCCTTACCCACATAAAATGCTGCCTTTTGGGTTGTGTTGTGTTGTGTTGGGTTGGTTTGGTTTGGTTTGGTTTTAAAATGTGTTCTTGTTATGTGTCTCAGGCTGGCCTTGAACTCAATATGTAGCTCAAGCTGGCCTCAAACTCCTGATACTCCTGCCTCAGTTTCCAAAGTAGCTAGGATTACAAATGTGTGTTACCACAGCTGATGCAGAGAGCCATTTCCTGTCCTCATTGCAGTCTTGAAAGTTTGTATTATTTATAATCCCATAGACAAGTTACTGGAATTCTACTGAGTTAATTCTAATCTACCACTTGCAGTGAGAATAAAGACACTAACACATATCTATACTTATGAGGAGTCAAAAGGTCCCTATGAGGTCCCAAAAGGCAAGGATGAAGATTCATGGAACAAAGGCCCTGACTCAGGGCTGACCTGGATTTTATTGATTTGTGAAGAAGGGAGGGGCTTGAGGATGGGTGACTATGAGAACAGGGGGAACTCTGTGAGTCCTGTGAGCTGGGCTGGGTAGCAGGCCTGAAAGCACTCTGCAACATGCGGAGAGAAGGATGTGCAGAAGGACCAATCTGCATAACACAATTGAGGTAGCACTTAATGTTTAGGGCGTGGAGCCTCAACTCTGATGTGCAAACTTTTCTGCCCTGGAAGTCATAGCCTCTTACCTTGAGGCTCAGAACCCAGCTGACAGCCCTAGAGCAAGGGCTCTGCATCCTTCCTGGCTCAACCATGTCTTGGGAGTGAACCATGAAAGCCAGAAAACAGCAACTGTCACCTATAGCTTCAAAGATTAAGCGTCCGACACCTCTGGCAGCTCTATTTACATTGCTTAGAGCCAAAAGAAGGGAAAGGGAAATGGCTTAGCCAACTCTGTACATATCAGCACATGGAGATAAGGTCAGGTTTAGCCAAAGTGGAGGCAATTGCTCTTTTTTCAAAGAGAATCTTCTAAGTGGTCCTCTGCAAACTGGCCCAAGATGTTTTTTAAAGTAGCGAGTTCCTTGTCACTGAAGGTAGTTAAGCAAAGACTAAATAACACCACATACAGAGGAAATTCACACACTAAATGAAAGGCTGGACTTGGATCATTCTACATCAAAGATTCTACAATCATTTCTGGATTGCTTGCCTCTTCTTCTGGAGTTAGAGTCCAGGTTTTCATCTCAAACAAAGAATTGAACAAAACAAGCAAAAAACAGAGGTGAAGTTTATTTGAAAAAATAAAACTGAAGAATGAGAGAGAAACTGGTTCTGCAGAGCAGATTGGGCCCAAGTTAAAGAGGAAAAAAGCAAAGAGATAAAAGCAGAGAAAGCAGAGCCGGCTATCGGAAGAATGCATCTGCGTCCTTTTATACTATCCAAATCTCCAGGAACCCAGAAGAACTCCTACATATGAGCCTTGAGAGATGATGCTGGGATCCCGTGCCTTAGGATGACCTCAGGTCTAGGCCACCCTATTGAAAACCTGCTTGAGTTCTCAGAAGTCCACAAAGAGGACTTTGGAACTACACATGTGTTTCTGGATCTTGCAATTAACAGGTTATAGCTACTTCCCCAGTCAGTTTTGCCATGCCCTAATCTCCTATGTCAATTTGAAACTTATATAAAATAGAAAGGCTTTCTGCACTGTTTGGTCTAAGACACAGTTTGAAATTGTGTCGAACTTTTTTTTTTTTTTTTTTTTTTTTTTTTTTTTTTTTTGTACGGGGGATCGAACTCACAGCCTTGCATTTGCTAGCTGAGCTAAACCCCAACATAGATTTTTTTTTGGTACCCAGGGATGGAACTCATGATCTTGCACCTGCTAGGCAGGCACTCTTGCCACTGAGCTAAATCCTCAGCTTGTGCTGAGTATTCTTCATAATGCAACTAATAAAGATCTTATACTGAATAGAACACATGCAAGGTCAAAACTTATATTTTGCTCTTGCTTCTTGAGAACATATTTCTGAATCTGCTGCATTTTTGCATCACATTAAAGAAATTTGTTTAGCCAGGCGTAGTGGCTCACGCTATAATCCTAGCACTCGGGAGGCTGAGGCAGGAGGTTTATTGTGAGTTCAAGATCAGAGGTAGGCTACAAAATGAGCTCAAGGCCAATCTGAACTGCATAGCGAGAACTTGTCTCAAAAAGAGAAAAAGAAAATTGTTTATATTTACGAATACAAAATAACCTGACTCTTCAGAAATTCAAATAGGTGATAAAGGATAAACATCAGAAGAAATCAGTGTTAATAAAAGCTAAGGAAATAAAGCAAGTTAAATAAAATTCCACATCAAAAAGTTTAGAACCACACATTTTAAAAGGTTATCACAGCTGGGCCAGGATGTGGCTCAGTAATGGAGTGCTCATCTAGCACTGGTGAGGCCTGGGTTCCTTCCCCAGCACTGCAAAGAGATAGAGAGATTGATGGATCGCTGGTCAGCTAGCTTACCATTTGCTTCTCTCCCAGTCCCTGTTTGAAAATGAGTGGAGGCTGGGAGTTTAGCTCAGCAGTTGTAAGTGCCTGTTTGGCAAACACAAGGTCGTGAGTTCAATCCCCAGTACCAAAAAAAAAAAAAAAAGAAAATCAGTTTAATATAATATTCTACAGAACACTAAATTAAAAACCCTAATTTAGTGTTTAACTGCAATGTTTATTTCTTTTAGTTTATCCACTAGCTTTTTATAAAAGCGTAAAAACTGAGTCCATATTTTTAAAACTTTTATTTCTATTAGCTTCAAAACTAAATGCATTTATTATTAATTTATATTTCATTAACTCTTCCTACTATATTATAGGCAAACCCAGTTTTACATAATACATTTCTGTGTTCCTAAGTCATTATAGATCTATACAGCGTCCCCTAAGCATTAGTATTATCCCACTTTTTCCAGATTTTATTTTCCTAGGCAAATTGAAAGGGCAGCCAAAGTTCCAAACTTTCCAAAAGTGTTCTCTGTCTTACACAGATGTAGTAAAAGTAAAATTTGTCCTATTTTGAAGTTCTGTATCACTTTCATTGCTCTTTTCTGATTGACTTTGTTCTGTTTTGTTTCATTCAGTTTTATTCTCTTTAAAATTAAAAAAATAAATTAATTTTAAAAATAGAATTTGGCAATTGAAATTGTTAAGTCATAGATCCAAAGTTTCTCTATGTTAGATATCACAACATTATTTGTACTAAAATTTTGAAGCAACTAATATTTCATTTTTGTTTCTTTTAAAGAGAATAAAAATAAAATTTCAAAACAAGATAAGAGGAGGGTAACAATGGTTAATACATTGTGTACTATTATCTTTAAATTAGTTACTCAGATTACAAGATATCAGCATTTAATTGTCCAAACAGTATTAGCACAAACCTTTCCTTTGAATGAACTGAGAGAAATAAGCAATATAACTATCCTGTCTTTTATATATATTTTTGCTTCCATCCCAATTTCTCTTTCCTTTTGAAGTTTCTTCACATTTTACAATATCTACTGTACACTTTGGATCTTATTTACTGTTTAAGTTTGTCACGCTATGGAGACAATATACTTATATGTGTCTGGTTTATTTGACTTACGTGTATAATCTTGAGTTACATCCATTTACATATAAAAGTCTCAAGTTATCCTTATTTATGGCTGAGTAGTACTCCCTAGTATAAAAATACCACATCTTTTTATGTATTTCTCAGCTGGTGGGCATTTGGGTTGTTTCCAAGATTAAGCTGTTTTAGCATGTAAAGCTACAAACATTGGTGCACATATGTCATTGAGGTAGAGTATTTCTGATTCTTCTAGGAAGGTATCAGGGGAATAACTGAGTCAAATGTGACCTCTAAACCTAGTTTTTCGAGGAATCTCACACTGATTTCCACAGTGGTTGCACCAGCCTGCTTTGCCAACAACAAAAGAGGAGGATTTCTTCTTCCTCATAGCCTCTCCAACATTTGTAATTGGTTGACCTCTTGATAACAACCATTCTTTCCAGTGTGAGATGAAATCTCAGTGGAAAAAAAGTTACATTTTTAAGAGCAGAATTTAAGACTTAAAGCCATGAACCTTAGAGTCAGACAAATTTGACTCATTACCTACATAACCTGGAAGAAGTTATTTCATCGCTCTGACCCTCAGTTTCTTGTTTTATAAAATGGGGGAAATCAGAGCTTTACAAGGGAATCAAAGATGTTTGGCAAACATAGGGCAGAGGTATGGACCTGAGGAGCTAGTATTTTTTCACTGTCTGTCCTGTCCTTAATGGCAGGTGACAGAAACAGATCCTCTAGCAAATGAGATTCTGCTTATATCTTATGATATGTTCATTCCCATCAGCAAAAACTGATGAATGGGGACTAAAGCTTGCTCTTTTCAGTTACATATGTGTTAAATCTAAATCTCTTATGTTTCTTCTCAGGGATAAAGATTTGCCAAGATCCTTTCAATGCCATTTACAACACAAAGAAAAGTTGAGCCCATCACAAATGGAAGGTAATGAGAATCATCCTAATAGTTAAAGCCCCATAATGCATATGATCCTCTCTTTAGTACAGATATAAGATTTCAAGAGGTGTCTATAACACTCTTTCATTTAAGAGAGGGGGGCTGTAGATATAGCTCATATGTATATAAGGGTCTCTAGATTCAATCCTCAGTACTGGAGGAAAAATTCTTTAAAAGCTTCTGGGTAGGGCTGGGGATATGGCTCAGGGGAACAGCGACTGCCTGGCAAGTGCAAGGTCCTGAGTTTGACTCCTAGTATCAAAAAAAGTTGCAGAGTGTGGTGGCACACACCTGTAGTCCCAAGCCAGGAGGGGAGGCAGGAGGTCTGTGACTTCAAAGCCTAAACTATATAGGCATTCAAAGTCAGTCTGGACTACAAAGTGAAACTGTTTCAGAAATCTAAAATTAAGTAAAATAAAAATTATAAAAAATCACCTTTATTGCTAAGAAAGGTGGTTTGGGAAACATAAAAGACTGTCAAGACCAGATTTATCCTCACCCAGCTGTTGCAGGGAGGCAGTGTCACAGATTAAACTACATATATAACTACCCAGCAGCGGCGGCATCATCTTACTTTGTCCTATTTTATAACCAGCATTTCAAGGAATAGTTAATTCAGCATACTGGCAGAAAAGCAATTTCCACAAATAATACTAGTTTTCCCAGTTTCCCAGTGTCCCTCTGGGGACTGTCTTACTCAGACATCTGCGTATGATGTCCCTTGAGCTTAGCAAGAGTCTGGGGTGTTTCAGGGACATGAGGCTAAATTTTCTCGGTAACAATACTCAGGGCTACATCCCCAGCCCTTTTTATTTTGAAACAGAGTCTCACTAAGTTGCCCAGGTCAGTCTGAAATTGGCGATCTTCTTGCCTCAGCTTCCCAGTAGCTGGGATTACAGGTATGTGCCACCACCCCTAACTTTAGTTAGTTCTTTGAATATTTCTTCTAAAAATATTAGATCTGTATAAGATACATATTATCTTTGTATATTTGGACTAGATATTGAATTTGGTTCAAACTTGGTGTATCAACTTTCTATTGCTATCATAAAAATTGTCACAATTTTAACAGCAAAAGTAGTGTAAATCCATTATCTTAAATTCTGCAGGTCAGAAGTCCAGGCAGGCTTGGCTGGTGTCTCTTCTTCAAACTGGGCTGAAATTCAGATGCTGCCCCCAAGGGCTCTTACATGGAGATTCTGGAGAATCTGCTTGCAATCTCATTCAGATTTCTGGCTCAATTCAGTTCCTTGCAGCCATATGACTGAGGTCCAGTTTCTTTCCTGCCCGCCAATCAGGAGCCCCTCTACCCTCTTTAAGCTGTGCCAGGCCTCCACACCACATTGCCCTTCCACCTTCACACCAACAGTGGTGGGTCGAGTCTTTCTTGTGCTCTGAACCTCTCTGACTTGTGTCATATCTATTAATAAAATTAGATTGGGACCACTCCAGCAACCCAGGCTTCCGTATCTTAAATACATCTGCAAAGTCTCTTCTGTCATGTAAGATAACATATTCTAGGGTTTCAGGGATGAGGGTGTGGACTTTTTAGAAAGCTATTTCTCCTGCCTCAGTTGGTTTTCTGCTCCACCAATTAATTTATTGCAGCCCAAATCACAAGGATGGACAGTGTCCTATATTAAAGCTGTCTATTAAATATGCATTTTTTCTTGTTTTTTTGAGACAGAGTCTCACCACATAGTTCAGGCTGGCCTTGAGCTCACTTTGCTGTCTCAAACTCACAGCAATCCTACTGCCTCGGCCTCCTGAGTGCTGGGATTACAAGCATGTACCACCACATCCTGTTTAAATGTTCATTTTAAATTCTACTTCTCTAGCCTTCCAAGATGTCTACAACTTCTTCAACAAGGATAAAACTGGCTGTATTGATATAAATGGGATGATGAGCACGTTAGCTAAGTTAGGAATGAATCTAACCAAGCACGATGTCTATAATGAATTAAAATGTGCTGATCTTGATCGTAAGTATTTTGACTTTCTCATTGTTTTAAAAAGCCTTTTCTAAATATATATTTTTTTCTCGGTGACTATATCAACAGAGAAAGTATACCTATGTTGCACTATAAACTTTTGGTTAAAAAGAAAAATAAATAAAAGTAAAGAGTAGCCCTTCCTTATCTATCTATTTCACTTTCCATGGTTTCAGTCACACAGTCAACCGCAGTGCAAGAATATTAATTTTTCCTTGATTCTCTCAAGAGAAACTACAGCCACTTAATTTTTATTAAAATATATAACTGTTCTGTTTTTATTAGTTGTTAGTCTGTTATTGTGCCTAACTTATAAATTAAACTTTATCATATGTATGTATGTATCAGAAATAAGATAGTATACATGGGGTTCAGAACTATCTGAGGTTTTAGGCATCTGCTAGACGTCTTAGGGGATGTTCTCTTTGAATAAGGGGAACCGGTACTATAGAAGCATGTTTAACATTAAGAACTACTACATACATGTGTGTCTAACTACTACATATGCATGTTTAACAGTAAGGTATGTGTCTAAGTTATGAAATTAAATTAATGTTATGAAATACACTATTCTTTGAAAAATCTAGTGTGAAAACTAAGAATGACTGTGTCCTCTTAATATCAAATTCAAGTTACCTGTCATGATGCCCTTTTTCGGGGGTGGGGAATTATCAGGACCTTGTGCTTACTGAGCACTTAGGTGGGTGAGCTATATCCCTGGCCCCATGATGCCCATTTTGGTACCAGGAATTGAACTCACTGCTCTCCACTTGCCATGTGATACCCATTCTGGACAAAGCCTAAAATAACAGATCCAAAGACAGTTTCAAATATAGGGAAATGCTTGTCCCTATTTGAATCATCAGTACGTCTTGCTGCTATTGTTACAACCCACCTATATTGAATTTTAAATTCCACAGAACTTCTGTTGATATTTTTAAAACACACAAGCTGAGCATGGTGGCTCATGACTATCATCCTAGCCCTCGGGAGGCTGAGGCAGGAAGATCGTTGGGAGTTCGAGACCAGCCTGGGCTACAAAGTGAGCTCAAGGCCAGCCTGAACTGCAGAGCGAGACCCTGTCTCAAAAAGACAAAAAAAACAGATTTCTGTTTCTCCTGGATTTACTGATCTAGTGATCAGCAGTCCGAGCTCTTACAAGTCCAGCACATTATCTGCTCTCCCTTCTCACCCATCTGCCAGAGCCCGTTCTGCCAGCATCCGCTCCACATGGGACTCCATGTCATCAGTTAATGAAGACATCCTTTGTTTCTACTCTGTCTAATTTCTCTATTCTTTTATGAAAACAGACATTCCTCAAGTAGCACTCACTACCCTTTGAGAAAAAAATGAGGTTTTTTTTAAATGAAGTATAACCTGATATGTTATAACAGAAATAATAGGAGTAGATACAGAGTAGAAAGGTTAGTAGATTCCATGTAAAAATGGAAAATCTCTGGAGAAGGGGTAGATTCATAGGACTACAGCAGCTGAGAGTGCCCTGGCTGAATGTTTGCATCCTGCCCTTATTTCTATGGACTGCACAAGACTAGTATAACAGTGCTAAGATCGCTCCAAGAAGACCTGAATGAAATAAAATGCACTGGTTTTAAATATTAAATGGTCCATGATACTTTAACTTTCATACAGAACATACAGTCTAATAATGTAAGCACATCTTGTCCTTGTTCTGAGCTTAGATTTCTTTTGTAGGAGATGGAAAGGTGAACTTCTCGGACTTCTTAAGGGTACTGACAGATAAGAACCGCTTCCTCAGGGCTGTGGGTGAGTACACATTACAGACCAGGTGGCAGTTTGGGAGTTACAACCCACTGAGAGTAAGCATTATACATTTAGATGTCCCAGTCAGGAGACAAATCAAGAAAGAGCAATCTAGGATACGATTTTATTTACTTACTTATTTATTTTGATACTGGGAATTGAACTCAACCTCGCACTTGCCAAGCCAGTGCTTGTGCTGCTGAGCTAAACCCCTAGCCCATGTATGATTTACTTTTAAACTGCTTCTCCAAAACAGTATCTGTTAAGCAAACTGATGTAGTTTTAGAATTTTAATTTGTATATATTAACAGGTAGTGGTGTTGTCTAAAGGACTCCTTCAGGGGACACTGCCCTTTAGTCTCAAAGAGAACACTCTGGGAAGTGATAGGTATAGAAAAATGTGGTCTTCTTTTATACTGTTTTAATTTTTACCAAGTGTCTGTCTTACTTTCAGAAACATTCTTTTACAAAAGAAAATAAGTTTTTTCTTTAGAAGGAAAAGAATGATCTCTCTCATGCAGATCTGGGAATAGATAATTAACTGCTCTTGAAAAATACCTTCCAGGGGCAGGGGATATAGCTCAGCAGCACAGTGTCTGCCTGGCAAGCATGAGGTTGTGAGTTCAATCCCCACTACCAAAAAAAAAAAAAGAAAGAAAAAGAAAAATACCTTCCTCACACTGATGAAGCCTGTAACTCAATGCAAGTCTGCTTGAGGTTAGAGTGCATGTTCTCACACAAGGCTATAAATGCAATGAAAAATACTTGAAATATTGCTAGTAGTATTTTCACAGTTTGCTTGTAAGCTTAGTAACCTGCTGCCTTGGAAAATCTAACCACTATTCATATCATATTTCTATGATAATACATTCTAAAGTTCAAATACTACATGCAGTTTTGAAAACATACCCATTTCTAGACTACCAACTGTCATTACAATTAAAATGTCAGCATTTTTGAATACTATAATAATAGTTATCTCATAAACCAAAGATATGTTTATTGACAATTTCTTTTCCTAGAGGAACAAAACAATAGTCCTTAACATACAATTCATGCTTGTGTTAAAAACATTATATGTTTACTTAGAAGACGTTGAACTAAAAATATTTTTGTATTCAGTGATTATTCCATTTGCCCCGTAATTGAAATGACCTTTCTACCAAACAAAACAAATTTTTAATATTTTACTATATCTTTAGTCCCTGACTTGATATTATCATTATTATTGTGATTATTATTATTATAAATAGTAAAAAGACTGTCATCTTATTATTTTTGGATAAGTACTTTATTCAGAAGACATTTTGAAATTTTTTTGTTCACCTCCATAGTTCCAGAAAAGGAAATCTGTTTAAATTTAACTGGCAACCCAGGAATCCTATTATTTGAAATCCTATCAAAGCTTATAGAGACCTCAGCTCTATCCAGAAAGACTATTATGGACATAGTAAGGTAAGTGGCAAGGAAAGAGACAAAACAGCCTTCTCAGAAGCATTTACAAGGATATCTCTCACTAACACTCTACTGGCTCGGTCCAAAAAATAGAAAAAAGGCTGAGCATTCAGGAGGCCAAGACAGGACGATCCTCATGAGTTTGAGGCCAGCCTGGACTACATAGCAAGACTCTGTCTCAAAAAATAAAAAATAAGGAAACCATAAAACCAAAACATAGGAAAATGTATCTAGGCAAGTGGTCATGTGCCAAAACATTCCTACCTGGCTCTGAAATTGCAAGACTGATCTCAGATTATCTGGAAACCCCACTGTAAGCTTAAGACGTCCAAGAAAGTTCAACTTCTTCTACTCCAGGTCAGGAAATCCCAGCAGAATCAAACTTTTCCAGGGATGATTTTAAGCAGGTTTCCAAATCTAGTGTGGAATACTAGATACTTCAATATGTACTGAACTACCGGGGGCTCTCAACGGGTCCTCTGCCTCTGAAGTGAGGTATGGCAAGTTCAGACCTCCCAGGGAATTCTTTGGACTGGAGTGGGGGCAGGATTAGACATGAGAAAAAAGGACGGGACCATTCTAATAACCACGTGCATTAACTTATTTCAGCAAATACCGGTAAAAAATGACTTTCCCCAATCTATTTTATCATTGTAGTATAGAAATTAAATATTGCTATTATCAATCCCAGTTCATACTCCTTCAAAGCTTTGTGGTACAGAGACTTCAAAATACAGAATACCACCAACAGTGTAAAAATATTCTCATGTCCCTCAATAAGTATTCTCTTTACGCTGTCATGTCTCTCCATCAGATAAAGCACAGGGCACACAAAATTCTGCTTGGCACATCATGGCAGTTCAAAGGCATTAATTTATTTATTTTGGTGTTTTTGAATCAAGGTCTTGCTGTGGAGTTCAAACTGGCCTTGAACTCACTATGCAGCTCAGGCTGGCCTTGAACTCATGGTAACCTTTGGGCCTCAGCATCCTTGAGTGCTGGGATTATAGTTGTGTGCCATCACACCTGGCAAAGACATTTCTTAAATGCCTAATGTTAGTACATAACATACAAATTTGGTACTTTAATCTCTCAGCCTCAGTTTCCTCTTGTATAAAATATGGGAAAGGATAATAACTGCTTTAAAGGGTAATTGTGGGAGTTTATTGGATAAACATATGTGCTTAACACATTATAAGAACTCAATAAATGTTAGCTGTTATGTGGAAATTACAGTAAGGATAGAGACAAGCCTGGTGGCACATGCCTGTATTCTCAGTACTTGGGAGGCTGAGGCAGGAGGAGTGCCACAATTTCAAGGCCATCCTAGGCTACATAGTGAGTTCAAAGCCAGCCTAGAATACATAGTAAGATGTTATTTTAAAAAAATAGAATAAAGATAGACTATGCCATATGTATTATCTGATTTAATCCTCTCCTCCTAATGAGTATACATTATCACCCCCATCTTACAAATGAAAAAATTAAACACAAGTCATTTAAACAACTGACTTAAGAGTCACTGGTGCTTAGATTTTAGCATCGTCTGATGCTCTTATCTACATCCTTGTATTGCGTCTTACTCAAGTAAGTCAATGGAAAATATTAGCTGATATTGGTGTTTTTATAGAAATTGGCTTGTGGTCATTGTTTATCTGGGATCCTGTTTTTGCCTGGTTCCTAGAGAGATTAAAAGTGCTTAAAACAAGGCCAAAGGAAGAACCAGAAAAATGCTCTAATGAGACATCACCAACATTACAAATGAAGAAGCTCCTAAAACCCAAGCCAACTGACATCCTGGGACATGTCATCAGGAGAAAGCCTTTTGCTACAAAGCCACCTGTTAGACTGGTTAAATGCAACTGCCCCACTGTAACCTGGTAGGGATCTTGTCCAGGTTCTTGATGTCCTAAACAAAAATATGAACAAGACACCCAAAAGTAGCAGCACAGTCAAAGGTTTATTTGAAAAACAAGGTGGAACTGGCCAATGAGATTTATACATCAAGAAGACTTGATGTTTAAAGTTTTAAACCTTAGGATTCGAGGTGGGATTTAGGGATTAGTCTAAGGTATGACTCCTGCCGATGAGTATTTTGACTTGGCTGCTCCATTGAGTAGAGGTGTTTTTAAACTCTTATGACCCTTTGAGCCCATGCACTGCCCACTATGAGTTTTGGATACCACATGCAATCTGCATATCGATGATATGGTAATTAGAATTGGTGTCAGCCAAGGTTGCAGAAGCCCATTAGGTGTTTGCCCAGGGACCTACTATGTATTATCTGGCTACCTTTTCCATTGAAATTTAGACCTAGGCATCCTGGTCCTGGGCTAATGTCTAACTGAGAAGGTAGAAGCCCCAGAAGGCCTCTCCTGGGAGACGTGGTGGTAGAGGGGAGCAGCGACCCAGAGAACTGCACTGGCTGGAGTGTGGGGCATTCAGTCCTCCCACAGAAGTGGTTGATTGACCATTTTGGAGTCAGGCAGGATAAGCCCAAAGCCAGAACTGCAGCCAGCTTCATTCAGCCACTCCTAGCCAGGAGCAGACTGGTGGAAATTGCTTGGACTGAGTCCTGCTCTTGTGCATGGTCCAACAGTCACTGCCAAGGTTTCCCTAAAGGTATTCCCAACCAGCTCTTCCCAACCTGCACATACTAAAATGGTGAGGGCTCCCTGACGTTAACCAGTTTAGGAGGGAGGTGCCAGCCTGCCCCACCCCTGCTTGCACTCCGTCAGCCACCGTAGCCACCATCAGCACTCAGTAGCCCTATACTAGTGCACCCAATGGTCACCATCAGATATCCCTAGCCAGCATGCTTCAGAGAAATTATAACCAATACAAGAATGCCAGGGACCCCATTACCCACTTGTCCAGAAGAAACCAGAAACATGACAAGAGGAAGGAGCAAAAGGCAGTCTCTGGCCTCCAACCCAAGCAGTACTGGTCCAGGAGAGGTAAACACAGAAGAGATCGGGAGTTCTACACCTGCAGTTTCTGAAGCAACAGCAACTGAAATAAAGAAACAACTTCAGGGGCTGGAGGTTTAGCTCAGCGGCATAAGCACCTGCCTTGCAAGCAGGCGGTCGTGAGTTCGATCCCCGGTACCAATAAAAATGAAAAAGACAAAAAAAAAAAAAAAAAGAAACAACTTCAAGAGGCTATAAAAGAACTTAGAAGAAAAATATTATCTCAGGTAAAAGAAAAAATGAAAAACATAATAAAAGAATTGCTAAGCACCTCTCAAGAAGATACTGACGAAAGAGTAGAGGAGCATAGAAAAGTGAGGGAAATCTTCAATAAAGAGTATAAAAAAGATTTAAAATACATGAAACATTCAAAGATATTAACAAGAAATTAAAAGTTCTATTGAAAGCTGGCAAACCACTTGAAAGAAACTAAAGATAAACTATCAAACCTTGAAGACAGGTTTGCAGCTTGTGATCATGAAAGGAAAGGTCTCTTAAAAATAACAAGGAGCCGACTGCCGGGAGAACATGGCGGACAGATAACAGCAACTACCGGAGGCTCTTTGCAAAACTAGGCTCAGAAGCCAGGTATGGTGCGGACTAAAGAGACATAAGCAGGTGGAGTTATGCTCTGCTGACTCAGGAACGAACTCGGCTGAGAGAAACCAACTTGGAATGCAGTCCTGGTGCTAAAACAGGAACAGAAAAGTCTCGCTGCTGAGGCTGGACCCTGCACCATTGGAAGCCGAGATTTGGGTTTCCCGCCGCGCAGTGGCTGGCTGCCTCTACATCGGCTCGGCAAGGAGAGAGATGCGCGGAAACTCTGAGAACGGGAGTCTGCGGACAGAGTCGAAAACAGGACGGGCAGGGAGGCATGTTCTGACTTGTGGCGAGGTGAGTGAGAGAAACTGACACTCCACCACAGTTTGACTCCAGCGGACTTTCTGGGCCCAAGCAGTCCTGCGGGAGCAGGGCGCGGTGGCGACTCCAGCCACACATTCCCCTCTCGGGCGGGATTGGTGAAAAGTGCCTGGTCTGCGTGACACAGCCGGCGGACCCCGTAGGCTGGCCCAAACCAGATCCCAGAGCCTGACGGAGGCCGGGAGGGGCGGGCCCCCGCGTAGGCTGCCTGGTGCGCAGCGGTGAGTGGGAACACCTAACCGGCGCAATTCGATCAGGCTGTGGCTGACAGGGAGAGAAGCTGGGCCTCTCATATAAGCTTGCATATATAAGGAACAGAGAATATGGGAAGAGGCAGCAACAAGAAAGGCTCCTCGGCCCCCAATTCTGAGAAACAGGCAATAGCGGACACCGCACCAATACACATAAAGCACCATATAGAGAGCCTCATAGACCAATTCAGGAATGAAGTTATCAACGACCTGAAGCTAGAAGTATGCAAAATAGTTAGAGAAATGCTAAGCCCCACCCAAGAAAAAACAGATGGTGGAATGGAAGAACAGAAAAAGAGGGGAGAATTGTTTGATGGAGAAAACAGGGAAAGCACAGAATACGTGAAGCAGGTTCAAAGGGACTACCAAGAAACTAAGAAGTCTATCGAAGACTGGCATAACAGCTTGAAAGAAACTAAGGACAGACTATCTGAACTGGAGGGCAGAATAGTAATATGGGAGAATGAAATGAAAAACTTCTTAAAAATAACAAAGAAACAAACAGCAATAATACAAAGACAAGAAGATGATAAGAGGATCCATAACTTAAGGATTAAGAACATAAAAGAAGAAGTAGGGACACAAACAAATGAACTACAAAAGCTACTCACAGAAATAATCCAGGAGAATTTTCCTAATTTAGCAAAAGGTAAAGATACTCAGATGTATGAGGCATACCCCAGCTACCTACAACCCAAACAGAGCAACACCCAGGCATATAATAATAAAAATTCCAGAAATTCAATACAAGAACAGAATATTAAAAGCTGTCAGAGACAAGAAACAGACCACTTACAAGGGAGCACCCATCAGAATTACAGCAGATTTCTCTGCACAAACCATCAAATCACGAAGAGCG